GCCCTTCATTAGACACGCGTGTCTGTGTGGCGTGCGGATGTGTCAGTGCCCTTCATTAGACACGCGTGTCTGTGTGGCGTGCGGATGTGTCAGTGGCCTTCATTATACACGTGTGTCCTTGTGTTTTGCGTTTGTGAGTGTCACTGCCCAGTGCCCTTTATTAGACACGCGTGTCCGTGTGGCGTGTGGATGTGAGTGTTAGTGCCCTTCATTAGACATGCGTGTCTGTGTGCCGTGCGGATGTGTCAGTGGCCTTCATTATACACGTGTGTCCTTGTGTTTTGCGTTTGTGAGTGTCACTGCCCAGTGCCCTTCATTAGACACGCGTGTCTGTGTGGCGTGCGGATGTGTCAGTGGCCTTCATTAGACATGTGTGTCTGTGTGGCGTGTGGATGTGTCAGTGCCCTTCATTAGACATGCGTGTCTGTGTGTCATGCAGATTGCCCCGACCTGTGGCTTTCCATGGCCCTGACATGCTGCCAATGGCTCCCTCAAATGTCTGTGCTTCCTGTAACCTGAAGTGTGAGTGCAGGACGTTACCCTCTCTGCCCGCCGGGAGAATGGATGACTTTGATGTAGAGAGGAAGCTGTACATCTAGCGGCCTGGGGGCACATGAATGACCTGCATTATCCCCAAATTATAGGGTCTGTCAGGGTGCCTCGCGCATGCAGATCGACGAGGGCTGACCTGGGACCTTGCATGATGCCCGCGGGGCTGGCATGGAACCCTGCTCGCTCATCTCAATGGGTGCATTCAAGTCCAGAAAAAGGCGATCTCAGGACCTCCGCTGACCTAGGGAGGGAGAGAAAAAAGCCAGCATCCCATAATAGCCAGTCTCTTCTCCCACTTCCATCACTCTCTTTCTCTGTCATCTGCTCTGAGGTTTTGCCAAATCTCAGATGACATGTCCTGCTGTTTTGTTGTTGATGTCACGCTAGTCTTGTCTGTTGTCACCTGCTGTCCCCCCCCCCAGTCCCCACCAGGGCTGCTCTCCCTTTAAACCGCTCCCCCTAGAATTTGTACTTCACTCTAATTAAACCTTCGACATAAACAAATACAGCAAAGGTCATAATCCGTCACGCTGACATTCTGGGGACTGCCCTGCCAGTGGCCCAAACACACTTCCCTTTCTTTTTTTCTGTTTTCTATCTTTTTTTTACACGTTGCGTCCTGGGCCTCTGCTGTGTGCCAGCCAATCAGAGCTCCTGCTACTTTACTTCAGCAGTTTAGCACCAACTCCTGGCTCTGGATGCTTGCAGGTGGTGTCATAAATGCACATGGCTTAGGAAAGCTTAGTATTGCTAAGAAACCCCGTGCGGCAGGGCGAGGTTCACACGCACACGCAGCCTGAGGGTTTTCTGTCCAGGAAACATCAAAGGAGGGATTTTTCTCGTCACACGAATTCACACACATTCAGAGGGGACTTGTGTGTCATATACAGTGCAAGGGAAGGATTTGGGCCCGATTTCACGTTTCCCCAGGCTCTGCGATCAGAGGCGACTGAAAAGACGTCTTAGCAAGATGACATCATCGGCAGACATAAGGCTCTTAGTGTTGCCTTTATTTGATGTTGATTACAAATAGGTTTGAGTTTCTCAATGGACAAGTACTTGGGGCCAGTGGGAATAGTCACAGTGACAGCGGGGATGGACACAGCGAGAGTGGGGATGGTCACAGTGAGGTCAAGGATGGTCACGGTGACAGTGGGGATGGTCATAATGACAGCAGGGATGGTCACAGTGACAGTGGGGAAAAGAACATAAGAAATTTACAAACGAGAGGAGGCCATTCTGCCCATCAAGCTCGTTTGGGGAGAACTTAACTAATAGCTCAGAGTTGTTAAAAACTTATCTAGCTCTGATTTAAAGGAACCCATGGTTTTAGCTTCCACTACAATAGCAGGAAGACTATTCCATACTCCAACTACACGCTGTGTAAAGAAGTGCTTCCTCAAATTCATTTTAAAATGTTCTCCCACTAATTTCCACTTATGGCCACGAGTTCTAGTATTTAAACTAATATTGAAATAGTCATTTGGCTGAACAGCATCCCGACCCGTTAGAATCTTATACAGTATACAGTGGTACCTCAGTTCTCGAACTCATTATAACTCGAATTTCTTAAAAGTCGAACCAACCAGTTCGAAAAAAAATTACCTAGAGCCCGATCTGAATCTCAGAAGTCAAACTGTGAACGCCAACCTAAGATAACTTGAAAGCGCGGAAATGAGTCACGCGGCACGTCTCTCAGCGGAAACAAAGGGTAACGCTTCAGTATCAGCCTCGCATTAGCGGTGATAGCATCGTGCATGTTTACACTAGCTGAATACATATATTTAGACAGTAAAAATACAAGACAATGATATACAGTAACAGTAATTATTATTATATAATAAAATATATTTAAAAATAAAGATTTCTTATTTATTATTTTAATATTAATAATAAACCATTATATGTTTAATTATAATAATATTATTGTGCCGAGTGGGACGGACAAAGGCTCAGACTTCAGGGTATCGGGGAATATGGGGTTTAATTACAGGTAAGGCAGGCAAAACGCAGACGGATAATACAATGACCGGACTGGGAAACAAACTGAAACGCGGATGAAATACAGAGGACTAATGACAACAACCAGAAACAGCTGATCACACGGGGATTCCACACGGGGTTAACAAGGGGGCGTGGCACACGGACGGAGTGGACGATCGGGGCAGGACACATTGTTTGGATACATTTATTTTCTTACTTTACAAATTACTGTTTTGATAAATGTGCTTAAATGTGTTTAGTACAATATATGCTCTTCTTGTTTTATCTGGTTCATTTTGTGTTTAAATGCTAAAAAAAACATATTTAGGTGTAATTTTTTGGGGCCGGCAACCAATTAATTGGTTTTCCATTATTTCTTATGGGGAAAATTCGATCACAACTCGAACTTTTTAGGATTCGATCCTGGAGTTCTGAACGGATTAAATTCGACTTCTGAGGTACCACTGTACCTGGATCATGTCCCCCCTTAGTCTCCTTTGCTCGAGGCTAAACAGATTCAGCTCAGCTAACCTCTCCTCATAAGACATTCCTCTAAGACCAGGAATCATTCTCATAGCCCTACATTGAACCCTTTCCAAGGCAGCAATGTCCTTCTTAAGGTATGGTGACCAAACCTGCACACAATATTCTAGATGGGGTCTTACCAAGGAATTATATAATCGTAGCATCACCTCCCTTGACTTAAACTCCACACACCTAGAGATGTAACCCAACATCCTATTGACCTTTTTAATTGCTTCCCCACATTGGCGAGAGTGGGGCATGAAAGCATCAACATACACACCAAGGTCTTTCTCATAATCAGCTACCTTGATTTCAGTGGAACCCATAAAATATCTGTAATTTATATTTCTGCTCCCTGCATGGATTACCTTACATTTATCTACGTTAAATTTCATCTGCCAGGTATCAGGATGGTCATAGTGCCACTGGGGATAGTCACAGTGACATTGGGGATGGTCATAGTCACAGGGAGGATAGTCCCAGTAACAGCAGGGTTAGTCACTGTGAGAGTGGGGATGGTCACAGTGAGAGCGGAGATGGTCACAGTGACATTGGGGATGGTCATAGTCACAGGGAGGATAGTCCCAGTAACAGCAGGGTTAGTCACTGTGAGAGTGGGGATGGTCACAGTGAGAGCGGAGATGGTCACAGTGACATTGGGGATGGTCATAGTCACAGGGAGGATAGTCCCAGTAACAGCAGGGTTAGTCACTGTGAGAGTGGGGATGGTCACAGTGAGAGCGGAGATGGTCACAGTGACAATGGGGATGGTCACAGTTTGAATGGGGGAGGTCACAGTGAGAGTGGGGATGGTCACACTGACAACAGGGATGGTCACAGTGACAGCAGGGATGGTCATAGTCAGACATGAAACCCCACTTTCAACCAGCAGCCATCATTTCCTGATTTTTATACCCTCCCCCATAACAACTGACATATGAACCCTGACCCCCTGCTTAATCACCAGTAAGACATGATTAACCATCTAATTGCTGTTCTTGTAGAACACGCTTAGGATACATGCGGTACACATAGAAGAGGTCATGCGTGTGCTGTACACCATCACGCGATGGCCGCGCCCTGCGCAGGAAGCACTGACTGAAGGCGCGGGGATAGATCCCGTGTCGAGGAAGCCGCCGGAAAGCATGACAGAACCGGGGTGGGGGTGCAGGTCAGCTCCCCGATTCCACGCTCCATCATCCGTGTGAGGCGTGACGAGCGGGACGAGGGTGCCACGGATGAGCAGCCTGGGCGCGAGGTCTCTGTGGGCCACTGGAAGGGCCGTGTTCACGGGTGGGGAGGCATGTGTTCGTGCAACACCAGCCGAGAGCCTCGCGGTTTGTTTAGCGACTGTATGATGATATAATTGCCTTAAACACAGCGCTTAGCACGGTGGGTATTCATGCCGCATGGTCGCCAACAATGACTCGGATCAGCTGTGAAACAGCACGAGGAAAAGCAAAATATAATTATCTGATTAGGTGCCGTTTTGTCCTGAAGTAACAACAGCCAAACTAGCTTCATACGGACTGATTTTCTTGTGATGTGCCAAAAAAATCATGTCGCATATTGGGAGTATGTTTGATATATAAATGCATGATTCGTCAGTCTTCCAACCAATTGTCCAGTGCAGGGTATTTTATATTTAATAATTGAGCTGAATATATCTTACACATATAATTATGTATTTCAGTAATATGGGCTCCGCTGTAAAGTTTTTTTATTACGCTAAATCCTCAGACAGACCAAATCTCATCATGGTGAAGACGTTGACAAATAAGATTAATTTTATCTTGATCATTCTCATTTTAGCAAACAAATCAAATCCTGAACTGGGCTACGGGGAGTTAGTCTGAATAAACAGATGCTCGTTATGTAATTACATTTCAGCGCACACAAACATTACCTGCTGAGAGTTGCCCCCCCATCCTCCTTTTCTGTTGCCGTTGCTGGTAGCCCTTCCCCTGCCGGTCCCGGGGCTGTCCAGTGAGGAAGTCCACAGCCTGCCTCATGCACCTCACACCTAGTCACACGCAGACCTGTATTTGCTCGTTTATGACTTTACTAGGCTACACTGTCAGGTTTCTCCGCTCAGCTGGATAACACAGATCCATAAATACATTATGGAGCCAATTTATGCTGACAGAAGCACGCCTGCTGTTCCACGGCCGCCACGCCCCCTGCTGGTCTAAATGTCTTGTTTTGGAGATGTGGTAAAGGTTGAGCTACCATCTCTACTGAGGTGTCACGCTGAGCAACTGAAGGTGTCTGGTGCCCCCCTCCCTCGTATCTGGCGGGAGAGAAGAGAGACCCCCTTGTGACCTGCCCAAGCCCAGGGCTGAATGACCACATCCTTCTCCTGGCTCCCTGGATGGGGCCCCAGCCTCTCCTCAAACGTGTCTGAGTTTCTTGACGCCCAGTGTGAGATTGGCGGTAACGTGGGGACTCCTATTAGCTGCTGGGGAAAACGAAAGGAAGGGCAGTGAGGGGTTGGGGGTGCGGATGCAGGGGGTGGGGCCCGGAATGGCTGGGGAGGGAGTTCATCAGTAGCTCTTCCTCAAAGCAGAGCAGGTTCACCCACGTTTGCTGTGTAAACACCCAAACCAGTGTCTGTGATCTGTTTATAAAATTATTATTTAGACAGGTAGATGCTATATATGTCAATGTGTATAGCAAGACACCACCTCCTTCAGGACGGCTGAAATACAGACGGCGCAGCTCCTGCAGGCTCACTGCATATATACACTGCAATAAGTACTCTGTGTACTCTACAATCTATATACTCTGTAATGGGGGGGGTGGCCTCAGGCTGCTTCCTGTCATGGTACAGGCGCTGTGTCGGCGAGGGGGAGGGGGGGCAGGCAGTTTGCTGTGATGAAGACGCAAGGCCCGGGGGCCATGCCAGGGCCCTCTGATGACCTTTACCCCACCCCCATGCAGAACAGGTCAGGGAGCAATCCCTGCGGAAAAATGCCCGCGGACCATGAGAGGACTTCCTGTGTGGTGTGGGCTGCATCTGCGAGCTCCGCCCCCACCCCCCCAGTGTCTGGTGATCTGCTCAGGGTCAAGGGCCCGGCCGAGTGCCAGCACGGTAATGGCACACTCCGGTAGCAGTGGGGCAGGCAGGTGGCGGCTGGCGGAGGCCGGCGTGCACTGATTGGATGGCGGGTGGCGGCGGCACGCGGAGGCGGCGGTAAGGCGATACGGGTGGACTGACGGCCAACGAGCCGCGGTTATTTTCAGCAGCGCCGCTGTGTTTGGGTCCATTTCGAGTGACATGCTGAAATTGTTAGTCATTCCGGTTCCCACACACGGAAAGCCTCGTGCTGATTTCCAAACTCTCGAGTGCCAGTAGAAAATACCAGAACAGACTGAAATTCTGACCATGTGCCGTGGAGCGAGCCTAGCTTCCGGTGCCGGCCCAGTGCCTTCCTTCTGCCCTCTCACTGCCGGGGGGGGCGGGATTGCAGCAGGCCAGGGTCACACAGGCATCATGGGTAGGTAAGGTCACATGATACACGTTCGTTTGAGTCACCTCCTGGGAGGCCGGGTGCTGCTGGCCCAGGGCTCACATTCCTACATTCCACCCCAGACTCTCATTCTGTTTCCCTCCGCTTTTACTGTCCCCAAAACTCTCCTGTTTTCTTTTCATTCATCCAGCTCCCTTTCCTGTGTCACATGGTCCAATTCGCCTTAGTCCCAAACTCGCACAGGCCATAGCTGGGAGTGGGCGGAGCTTGTCGGGACATGATGCAGATGGGAGGAGCTGAAACTCTTTTGTCTTTCCACAGCTTTTGACTATCGATGACAACTTCTGCGGGCTGGACATGAACGCACCGCTGGGCGTGTCGGAGATGGTGCGCGGTGTCCCTCTGCTTTCCGAGGGGGCGGACAAGATGACGTCCATCATCGCCTACGTCTACAAGAACCACTCGCTGGCCTTCGTGGGCACGCAAAGTGGCCGGCTCATGAAGGTAGGACCCCTGGGCATCTCCTCTGACACCGGGTGTTGATGGCGCCCCCATGTGGCTGGGGTGTAACTTGTGCTCCCACGCGGTTGTACATCGAGAGCTCGACACAGACGGTTTTCCCACACGCTCCGTGAAGCTCCATGGATTTGCAGGATTGGGCCGCACTTTGATGTTTCACAGGCGGGGGGTGAGGGCTGTCAGATCACGGTGAAACAATGATAATACAATGAGCGGACTTTCCATCCGTGAACTTGATGAATCAGATGAATCAGCTGTCCCCCACCCCCCCCCCACCACCGAAATCCACTTCAAAGAGAAAGTGCCATATGTAAGTGAGGAGGAGGATGGAGGCTTCGGCCTGCTTCACACGAGCGTGAATCCAGCTCTCGACGCATAAGAGCCTCTGCTAACGGCAGTGCTACCATTCGGATGTTAGTTTATGGGGATGAGCCAGTAGGGGGGAGGGGGCGCGTTTATCGGCGCATGTGTGCATGCTGGCTCGGCACGGCCCCCCGTGGGCCCCGCCTCGCGCACATGGACGGTTTGGACCCAGTATCTCTGCTCCGCTTTGGCACTGCCTCTGAGGCCAAAGCAGACGGAGCACGTGGGAGAGAGAACGGCGTGCGGAAAAGGAAGGAAGGAAGAGAGAGAGCCGCGGGAGGCGGGGGGGGGGGGTTTGTCTTTCTACGAGCCGGTGTCCTTGCTTCCGCCTGCTTTCCGGAACTTTCTCCGGCAGCCACTTCGGGCGAGCTTGGCCCAGGCCGTGTCACAGAAGGGAGCGGGGTGACACGGGCCTGCAGGGACTGTATCCAGTGATGTCACCGGTTGTAAAACAAAACGAGGCCATATAGCCACAGAGGCATAAACATGAATCAAAGTGGAGGCTCCCCCCCGCCTCTGCCAGGAGATTTACGCCTCCCCCCCCCCACCACCATACTGAGCACATCGTTTGCATGCCTGCCTGTGGCGTAACAGGATACGTCCAGCGAAAATCTGCATGGCAGGCGTTTAATCTGCAATCTGCGTTTATGGAGTCATGGAGAATAATTATGGGTATTAACACGCTTGTGTCCGTGTTTCTGTGGTCCCTGACAGCTGTCAGATCTGCGTCTTTGGCCTGGTGGGACATGCTGATCATCACTCGCTTTTATAGTGGGGTCTCAGAGTGCTGGGGGGGTGAGCTGGACCCCCCCAGTGTCAGGCCACAGCCTACTGTACGGTGGGGCCGGCCGCTCTTCCTTGATGCCCAATGCTCAGATTCAGGTCTCTCTGCTGTTCCTGCTACTATGATTACCGGACCGCCGACCTATGGGGTCAATGCCGACCATTCGCCCGTTTGGAGGAGGGGAGAAAGCATTAATCATGCCTGCTGACGCAATGTCAGACCAAGGGTAGCGGCCGTCCTTCAGGGGCCCTGCCACCGCACCCCCCCAGCTGGGATTAATCTTGAGCCGAGCTACGCTCCAATCGTTCAGCAGCATGCTGAGCCTTTAATACATCTCACCGCATGTTCAGGACGGAAAGAAGCGGCCACTCCGCATGCCCAGAGGAGAGTATATGTCTGTGTGAGAGAGCATGTGAGGAGACAGGAAGTTTGGACACCGGTACCCAATGGGAAGTGTTTGGCACCAGGGAATCATGGGAAATGTCTCAGCACAATGGTAGCAGATTGAGGGCTGGGTCTCTCCACATGACAAGCAGGGGGTGGGGGGCGGTGCTGTTTCTATTCAGTGGTTGATAAAAGGTCATTCTCTTGGGGGGGGGGGGGGGTTGGCACGGCTGGGGTGTGTCTGAAGGGTTCACAGTTTCTGAGCAGGTGAGACTAGCAGCTAAAATTCTGGCAGGTCATGTTATAGGAAGCCATAAACTGGCAAATGGAAATGGCTTTGAGGAATAAAACTCAGTAAATTATTCACACCTTCAAAAGCAAGGTGATGCTGTTTTCTTTCTAAAGAGTGACTTTAATTAGTGTGCTGGGTGAGTCAGTGGTCATCTCAGGCCACGATTCCCAACCCTCATTTAAAGGACCCAATCGAGAATCATGCATCATACTGAGTCACAGCCGGCCCCCTGAGTCACTGTGGGTCACAGTGATTCACTTTGGTCCATGGTCCTGTACCACTTGCTGAGGAATTAACCCGTGGACAGGAAACAACAAGACTGGCTTAGGGGAACTGCTGTAAATGAGCTTATGACCACTGTTCCTGTGGTTTGGGTATCATTCATCTTTAATTGAAATACTTTGTTGAATCAATATCTGCTAACAACACATGCTAACGGCATCCTTAGAGAACAGCAATGTTAAATCCCCTAACACCATGAAGGGCACCATTGTCAACAGCATTAACAACTCAGTGAACAATACCATGTCTAGCACCCAGCGCTACTTAAAAACACTGTCAACATCACAGTCAACTGTCGACAGGACAACAGGGCAATCAAAACACAGACACCACCAACAAAAACAAACAACACAGTGAACAACACAGCCAACGCCAACAAAACATCACCAATAACACGGTCAACATCACAGTCAACCCAGCCAACACCAACAAAAACATCACCAATAACACTGTCAACATTACAGTCAACACAGCCAACGGCAACAAAAACTTCACCATTAAAACTGCATTAGAAAACACTAGCAAATCACACACATCAATTACTGCATCAGAAACTGCGACCAGCAACAGGTCCATCAGCAGCAAACACAAAAGTAGCACTCGTCCCGAAATTAGAGGGCAAATGAAATGCTCGTCAGAGAATCTGCCACTTTTCTGTTCTCAAATGAGTGTTCTCTATTCGGTAGGTACGGGATGTAAAGAAAAGTAACGGGGCACATCAAAAAGATGCAATACATCCATCGTGCCTGATTAGGCCTTCCCCGTTGGAGTGTGTGATTATTTCCTGAGTTTTTATGATCAGGTTACTCTGGCTATTAGCAAGGTCAGGGGGTTGTGAGGTTAAGCATCACTGCCTGATTTTAGCATCTGTAAATTGGGTTACAAATGATGCCGGTGATTGCTGGGGCCAGGTAATTGCTGTGCTCTTCTCATTTCCTCTTTTATAGACCCGCTGCTGAGAGGTGTAACCCTTGGGGGGGGGGAGGGGGGCTCTATGCTGGGCTGGGGTTGCTGTTGCCTGGTCAAGACCCTTGGTCCACTCTTCCATATATTGCTGTGCTGATCTCAGAAGGGTCTGCAGCCTGTGTCAGTGGAGTCTTTGGTAGTGCTGACAATGTTCTCCCTTGTGGGAGTTCCTGCTGAACCCTGCAGATCTTAACAGATGGTTCTGAATGGGGTTTGGGCAGCTGAACTGGTTTCTGTTACCCACCAGTAAATCTACTGATATGAAAATGAGTCTCTATTGCCGAAGGCTTATTTACAGTGAGAAGGAGCTGGTTTTGGGCGAATAAATAGGCTGGTGTGTGTGTGAGAGAGAGTGTGTGTGTGTGCGTGTGTGTGTGTGAGAGTGTGTTTGTGTGTGTGCGTGAGAGTGTGTGTGTGTGAGAGAGAGAGTATGTGTGTGTGTGTGTGTGAGAGAGAGTGTGTTTGTGTGTGTGTGTGTGTGAGAGAGAGAGTGTGTGTGTGTGTGTGTGTGTGTGAGCGGGTTTACCTATCCTTATGCGGACATAATGTCCCCATAACGTGATAAATATCAGTTTTTTTAGCTTATGGGGACCGGTTTCCTGGTCCCCATAAGGGAAAACTCTTTTTTATAAAAATCGGTGACTGCTATGAAAAAACTAAAAATGCAAAAACTCTTGTATTTTGTTAGGTTACTTATGGTTATGGTTAGGGCAGGGTAGGGGTTAAGGTTGTCATAGTTAGCGTTAGCATTTTCCCCATTGAAATGAATGAGCGGTCCCCATATGGATATGTTTACCCTACATGTGTGAGTGTGTTTGTGTGTGTGTGTGTGTGTGTGAGAGAGAGAGAGAGAGAGAGAGAGAGTGTGTGTGTGTGTGTGTGTGTGTGTGTGTGAGAGAGTGTGTTTGTGTGTGTATGAGAGTGGGTATATAAGCAGGCGATGCTCGTAAGGGTCTGACAGACTGCGGTACCAGACTGCGGTAATGGGTGGTAAATGGTGGCTTTTGAAGCTCCTACCCCTGGATGAGCAGCAGCCTCGCCCACTCGCTGGTGAGGCTTTCGGCTTTATGTTTTCAGATGCAGCTTCTCTCTGACAGATGGATCGATAAGGCGAGACTCGGGCACACTGACACACGAGACCTAGAAAATATCAGAAAGGACGGATTTTCCTTGTGTAAAACGCTTGTTGCGATTTGTTTCTCATGTTCTCCCCTTTAGGAAACACTGAACGTATTCCCACAGTGCATCGATTTCCTTTTATTGTTGGGCATACATGCGGTATTATGGCCTCCGATGGTGGACTTTGAGTTCTGTCGCCGTGATTCCGAGTGTGACTTATAGGGAACCCCCTCCCCCAGTTTTTGGGGTTAATCCTGACCGGGGTCGTCCATGGCCCCCGGGCACCTCACTCCGTCACATTGTATCTGTCATGCCTCGTGGCTGAGTTTGCCCATTTTTTTTTTTCTCACCAGAAGATTCAGTTTCAGCCTCAGCGTGGGAGCTGCTGGGATGCGGCAGTGATTCCCGGCCATGGCGCGTGTGCGTGCGAGACCGCGAGTGTGTCAGTGTGTGCACGTGGAGGTGCTTGGGCTGATTGAGGGGCAGCTGGAAGCCTTGAGTCAGGCATCGGCTGGCAATGCGAGTGGGAGGAGACAGAGGGACAGGCTTTTCAGAGGAAGAGTAACTGCTTGACTCTAATTACTCTGTGTAGTAGACTGTGAACACTCTCTCAAACATTTAATTAAAACCAAAGTTGATCTACTTTAATTAAACACTACTGAAAAAGGTTATTCAAATCATTTCAGTGAGGGGGAAAAAGTTGAATTGTTTTAATTAGTCTTCAGACTCTTCTTTGTGTGTGAGGGTGACAGAATTCCTCAGGACACCCACTCTACCCCTTGCAGTGCCAGTCAA